GGGGTAACGGAGTAGTTGCTAACAGATTTCAGATTGGATAATGATGTCAAATTGGTCGTGATTTCCTGAGTGCTGTGCATGGGTGGTTCCAGTGCTGACTGTGGCCCGGCCAGGGAGGGTCTGCCCAGGCCTGGGAGGGGGAGGCTGCCCAGGCCTGGGGAAGCATCCCAGGTCTCAAACCATCTCTCTCCTCCTCCTCCACGGGGAACAGGTGTGTATAGTTACGCACGCGCTCAGGTTCAGCTGTGCTTTGGCCAACACTTAGTGACTAGGTTCCTATTATAATCATTACTAATAATGATGCAAAAAATCAGTCTGTGCTGCTTAAAGAGTGATTTGAAACATGAGTGTTTAATGAGTCATGAGTTGGGGAGGATTTATTCTCCATCTGATGCTTTTTGTAGGAAAGAAGTGAGCACCGTTATCCTGCTTATGTTTAAGGAGGTTTTAATTTAAGAATCCCAAAGAAGCCAGATTTGTTTTAAAAGAGATGCAGAGGTACAAGCCCCAGTCCCTCCCACAGCCTGGTGAAGGCCCCGGGCGACATTCCCTTTGGGGCCCAGCCATGGAGAGAGGGGCTGGGGAGGTTTGGCCTAACACACAACTGATCACTGGTTGGCTTCCAAGCAGCCCTGCTCTAGGGTGGGAGGAGGGGCCGGAGTGCAGGCAGGTGCTCTGTGCAGACGGAGCCTGGCACCTGGCCTGAGGCCTGGGAGAGCTGTGGCCAGCGTCCTGCCTTTGCTGTGAGCAGCGCAGTTCAGTGTAGATGACCTGTGAGCTCCTGACATGCCCACCCTCTTAGGAGCTGTCCTGCGCAGGCAGGCACTGCAGGTGAGAAGGAGCCCAGCGAAGAGGGTGTTGAGTGCCTCCTCCTGGCCTGGGCCGCCCCCTGCCAGCCAACCTTGAGTCTGAGAGAAGGGGCAACTCCACAAAGTTACACTGAAGACCCTTTGGGCCCGTGGTGCCAGGGAGAGAATCCATCAAACGGGCCCATCCCCCAGCCGCTGTGAGCAGGAGGCCCCTCCGGGAGTGCTGCCTGATGCCCAGGGGCTCCCAGCGCAGCCACCCACACAGATGAGGGGAGGGAACAGCTGCCCCTCACAAAGAGCCTCCAAGGCTCCTTTAAATCGGAACACATTTGATCCAACCCATATTGATCTTCCTCCCCGTGGGGAACGCTGGGGAAGTGCGGCTGGAAGATTCTGGGACAAGCTAGGGAATGTTGTCTTCGATGGTTCTAGTTTAGTCAATTTAAACAACTTCTTACGGTTACCTGTCACATCTGGAAATAGATTTATATTCTCTCTCATAAAAAAAATGACTTTTTAAGGTCTCGAAGATCGGCTGAATGTTCGTTTTCTGGGGATCTTTCACCTCAGCAGTTAACAGGCCGAATGGGCTGGGGTGCGGACAGGGAGTGCAGTGACAGAAGGCGCAGACGCGCAGTCACTCCTGGGAGACTCGGGGCACGCAGCTCTGTTTCTGCGTCCGGCTTGTGAGCCATTTCCACCGTCTGCATCGTCGTGTCAGGCTGAAGCCGCGTCCACAGTGCAGCTGCGGTCCCTGGGGCAGGGGGCAGGCACAAGGCACGTCCTGAGGCCAGTGTCGCTCTCCTGCCACCCTCTGCTCTCGGCCTGCGGAAACGCTGCCCTATCTGCAGACTGGTCACCGTGACCCCGCCCGGTCCCCTTCCCATCACACGCCATCCCCTGGACCCAGCTTCCATGTGGCCGAGTGAGGGCCAGGCAGGCCCTCAACCCTGATGGAGGGGGTCAGCCTCCGGGAGCCCATCTCTGCACCGCCCTGTGGAGACAGAGCCGGCCCGGGGAAGTGGGGCCTCCCGAGAGGGGGACCGGGGTGAAGAGGAGGCCGAGGCTTTGCTTCAGTCTGTGGAAGGGCTTCCTCCCCCGAGAGCCAGGGAGCGGGTGCCACGTCCAGCTCCACGTGGCACACAGGCTCCAAAAGGGGCAGCGGGGTTCCCAGAGCACCAGCAGTTGGTCTCCGAGTTCTGCTTTTCCCATAAACAGTTGTTATCAAAAATCTCTGCCTGTGTTTTTAAGCCAAATCCCAGAGTAGTTGGTAGTCCTGTTGGCAGCACCCCTGGGACAGAGGAGGCTGGGACCTGCGGGGCCCCAGGGTAGAGCACAGGATTTCCTCCCCAGGTAGCTCGACCCCGGGGTGCAGGCCCCTCCCTCTGAGCCTGGCTGGCCCTGGGGGGGGGGACCTCATAGGTTGTTCCCGTGGCATTGGATGGGGGTGCTGGGCGCTGTGGCTGTAGGGACGAAGGGCTAGTAAAATCGCTGCTTGGGAGCCTCTGCTCTGGACCAGGGACCTGTGTATAGGAATCCCCACAGCCACCTGCAGACTCTGCCCCAGGGCAGACGTGGCACCAGCTCACAGAGGTCAAAGGCCACGTTCGCTCGGCTCAAGAGGCAGAGCGGGGACTTGGCCTGTCCGTGCTCAGTCCCTGCGCTGCCTCCTCGGACCCCGGGTCCAGGAAGCAGGTCAGGCCGGCTGCTTCTCCTTTCAGTACCTTCAAAATCCCCCCAAGCTGACTCACCATTTCCACCCACCCGACTGGGCCCCATCTCGTCTGGTCACTTCCAAGAGGCCTCGGGCGCATCGGGGGTCACATTGTCTCGGGTGCCTTGACACACGAGGGAACACACTGCCCAGGGCCTCCTGCAGAAGGTGGGGGCCCTGCCACCACCGAGGTGCCACCACTCCGGCTAGCGTGGCTCACCCTGTGTTCTCTCAACAGCAAATGAAGCTGGTGGCCGAGAACCTGAAGGAAGAAGGTGGGAAGGAGAAAGAAGGCAACCTGAACTAGCAGAGGGGCACCCGAGTGGCTGAGCGGCTCCAAACCCAGATCCAAGGTTCGGCCAGAGGAAGCAGCTCCCCGTGGCAGCACCCACTCCTCCCAACACAGTGTCCCAGCTCAGGGCCGTGAAGAGGGCGGCTGGGACCCAGCTCCTGGCAGCTCCCCCCA